AGTTTCCCTGGTGTTGGCCAGTGTGGCCACCAGGGAAAGCTGGGGAGGGCTAGCCTCCCACTAGTTCGAATTAAGGGGCTACACAGCCCTTAATTCGAACTAGTAAGTTCGAACTAGGCTTAGTCCTCGTACAATGAGGTTTACCTAGTTCGAACTAAGCGCTCCGCTAGTTCGAATTAAGTTCGAACTAGCGGAGCGCTAGTGTAGCGCCTATCAAAGTTAATTCGAACTAACATCCGTTAGTTCGAATTAACTTAGTAGTGTAGACATACCCCCACAGACCTAACTCTTCAAAATATGTTCACAGGGCTAAATATTGCTTGCATTGTCTTCATTGCATTTTGGACAGCCTAGTAAATCTGTTACCAATAAATAGTGAACAGTGGGAAAATGTATTTGCAGACATATTTGTGGAATTAGACATCTATTTTAATTTTGATGAAGACATATTTCTGCCCCTTTTAGTTCACTTTGTCATCAAGATTTGGACAACTGATTTCTATATATAGATTAATCTTTTGTAGGTACTGTCATTCATTTAACTTCATATTCACTACACACCTCAATGAAAACATAGTATCTGTGTGAGCAAATGCTTTTGTTATTTGCTAATCAACTTAGGGTACCCAGATAGCAAGTGTGAAAAATCAGGAGCAGGGACTGGGAGACAAAAGGTGCCTCTGTAAGAAAATCCCTAAGGTGATATCCCATCATTCACTATTCAGTGATTATTCTCCTGTCTAAAAAAAAATAATTATCTAATCATGGATCAGAAACACCATAGTGTGACTTGGGTGACCAACTACACATTAATTATGATCAGTACTTACAATTCACAGTAAAACCACAGTCTGTAAGATGTTCAGAAAATAATTTGACAAATAATAACAATGACAAACAATAACAAATGCTGGACATTTTTCATTTTTAGTTAGGTAATTAAGGTACAAAATATATCAAATAACTGCTTGGTAGAAATGTTTTATGAAGATTGACTAATAAGTATCAAAGGGGTTTTTCCCCTTCTAAAAGCAATTGCCTTTTTAAAAACAATAACTTGAATTTCTATATATAATCCAACATTCTTTAAATGCTTTCATCTATTAGTTTTATTACCGATTCCCTTCTCCATACTGTACCTTGGCTAGATGTTCTCCTAGTCCATAAGGGACTTCTCGTTCTTTTTCATTATCGGTTTTATTACCCAGCAATAGGACAGGTATATTTTCTCCAGTTGCCTCCTGCAGAGCAAAGAACACTAATCTATACGGCACACAATATGTCAACATCATTCAAATATTTTTAAAAATGATTACATATGAAGCACAGCCAAATCCCACTAGATGCCAACATAAAAATGAAAATACTGAAGATGTAACAGGCAAGTAAAGTGTTTTTTTATGAAGAATTACATCAGGCATCAGAATTGGACAAAAGGAATAAAGGAGTTATTGTGTGGGAGAAATGCATTACCATACTGGACATTCCTTGAATAACAGTGCAGCTCCAAAAACATTCAGATTTAAAGAAAGAAAGAAAGAAAGAAAGAAAGAAAGAAAGAAAGAAAGAAAGAAAGAAAGAAAGAAAGAAAGAAAGAAAGAAAGAAAGAAAGAAAGAATGTGCTACATAAAGCCCCAGGTGCCTGCCAACTACTTTTCCATTTAGATAGGCATGAAACAACTGCATTTGGAGCCAATTATACAATCAACGTGCATAATGTAAATAGAGATAATACATTTGATCAAATTTAATTATGAGAAGTGGTAATATTTATTACCATGTATAACACTATGAGAATGAGTATATTACCAAGTGTACACCAGAGACTAAATTCATTACATGATTATGTATGCATATTGCCTGAATTAAAGGCAATGGATTTGACCATATGTCTTGAACTCAGTGCCAGTTAATATCTCTCAAAATTTGTCAGTCAAGATGAATCAAATGTATAAAATATTGGAATTGAAAAAGAAGGCTATGTTTCCTGATCAAAACTAAAATTATCTTCTAAAGCTATTTTTATGTGTTGAATTGTTATAAAATATTTAATTGTTCAGAAAACATGATAAATAAGGGCCTGATCCTGAAAATGCTTAATCCTGGGTTTACTTCAGTGGGGCTACTCACAGTTGTCAGGGCAACTGACAGTAGTAAGTATTTGAAGAATTGAGCCTAGCTCCAAAGTACAGAGGCCACCTAGTGGCCAGCACAGATAGCAATGTTACATACATTAGCACACTGCTTATTGCCATAAGATTTGAATACACAGTCGCATTTCTGAGTTGCAAAAAGCTCTTTGGGAGCAGGGACGATGACTGGTAGGCAGCAGAGAGTAAAAACAAGATATTCTACAACTTGTTTTTCCCCCAGGAAGCTGAATCCTATAAAATAAACCAGTTTTACAGAATTTACAGTGGATACTGTTTGACATGCATGACCTCAAGGACTTGAAGGCTGTGGCCAGAGCAGTTTAGACTGAAAGCTATGTCCTCTTACCTCAATGCTCACCAACCACTGCTTGACAGCTGTGAATGTGTCTTTTGCTGTTATATCATACATCACAATGACACCATCAGCTTTTCTGAAAAACTGCTTGGTAATACTCCGGTACCTGCAAACAAGAATGTGTTTATAGCCCTTTGTCTTAGAGCAGTAGCAATGTGACAATATGGATAACAGTTTAATGGTCAGAAGCTACACACCAACTCTTCAATCCTGAAGCACTGAAGATTTACACACAGGGATCTAGATAGAACATTTGCATTCTTATATAAGCTCAGTTTGGCTCACCAATATATAAGCCCCACTCGTATGTGTAATCCCAACTCACGTAAGTAGTCCTAGTGACGTCACCAGGACATGAGCTGTAACAACAGTACACCTGTAGCTCTTTTCATTTCCAAATCTTATAGTAATTTACAAAGGCAGTTAAGCTTATTACACTCCTTTAGGGATGCACAGTGAATGCAGGGATAGACACGTTTAAGTGGCTAGTCACTGGCAGAGATGGGGGAAAAGCTCACCGTGTTGCCATAGTAAGGTTTATTCACATGAGTAACAGCTGGCAGACCAAAGCTTCATTTACAAATATGAATTTATACTCAGAGGACACATTTAAGCTCAAGGACAATCAGAGTGGATTTTTCCTTTCTTTTACACATGAAACCTCTCCTGTTATCCTTGACAATCCCACATACTAGATGAGTGAACAGTTTCCAACAGAATGTAGTGTCAATAGGAAGGGGAAATTTAACTATACTGAGAAATATGGTGAGGGAACAAATTCAGGGCTTTCTAGATTTATTATCCTTCTCCTTTTCATCTATCCCAAAATAGCTTATTCTTTTTCTCATTTGGTGGAAGTTCCATGTATGGAACTCACAATGTCAATGACTAAAAGATAAAAACAAAAAACAAAAGTGTGCAGTGTTTTAAAAAATCCTGCTGCTGACCCTTTCCCTTGTCTTTCTGTTCTTGTCCAGCTGGTGATAGTACATATGCTCTGAACCCATACTTCATATCTTCCGAACTGCACTTGGTGTGCTATTGCAAGGATTTCTCACTCCTCTATGTAAAAAATTAGTCAGTTTTTCACTTGATCATTGAATAATTTTTTATTTTCAACTTTTTTTTCCAATCAAAATTAATGTTTTTCATTTTTGGTCTTTCAATGAACCCCTGAAAAGTTGAAAGGGAATCGGGTATTTTGTGTGTGAAAACGTTCATTTTCTTAAAAAGTAATTTTTAGTTGAAAAAACCTGATGGAATGACAGAATATTTTTAATCAGTTCTGCTCCTTGTGAGACAAGTTCTTTCAGAAACTTTACAACAGGCTGGCTCTCCTGGCTCTGGCTACGTCTACACTGCAGAGTTTTTCCGGAATACTGGAGGTTTCCCGGAAAAACTATGCTGTGTCCAGGGAACACATCTGCTCTTAGGAAGGCTGCGTCTGCTCTTCCAAAAAAATCTTTGGAAGCGCAGACGTGCTTTTTCGGCATCCCTGTAAACCTCATTTTACAAGGAAGCAGGGATGTTCCAAAAAAGGGTTTTTTTCAGTGTAGATGGGCCAAATGTCAGAAAAGCCTCTTCTGAAAAAAGAAGCAGAAAAAAGTTTTGCAAATTGTGGTTTGCAATTTGCGTAGCTTTTTCCGGAAGAACAGAGTAATGTAGACATAGCCCCTGTTAGCAGATACTGATCCTGCTGGGAAAGGATCAAGGCCTACCCTCACTTTTGCTGAACTAATTCTCCTCTCTAGTGGGAAGCAGGATTGAGCCCAAGGCTGCTGTTGTATAAATTCACAGAATAGGAGACTTAGAAAGTTAAGACAGTTTCTCACCGTTCCTGCCCAGCTGTGTCCCAGAGTTGCAGGGCTACTTGGCTGTTATCCATTGGCACTGTTTTCACACAGTAATCAATACCTATAAACACAGCATATGTTGTCTCTTTATACACTCAGTTTCATTTCTGATTATCTGATCAGGTTCATAGTAGTTTAAGTTAACAGCATCATGTTCAAACATGCCACAAATATTTCTAATCTGTGTTCATTGGTTCAGAAGGCATGCAATAAATTCTGGCCCTTTACAATTAGCTGATAATAAAAATAGTCAGAAGCTTTTATGTGATATATTTAAAGTAATAACATAAACATATTAAATGTAAATGTGTTAATAAATGTAACTTACAAAATGTCATTCATCTGGAGTAAATTTTTTAAAGGCCCAAGTGATTTAGGATCCCATTTGCCATGGAAAGTCAAGGGGACTGAGGCTGGTAACCAATATAGGCACATTTGAAAATTTTGCCTAGTATTCTTAAATAAATGTTCTTCAGTTTTGATTTATACAACTTCTGGATATTGATAAGACTTGCTCTAACAAGTAGGTTACACTGCCCTCTTCTGCAACGTTCTTCTAGGATTTTCTGTGGCACCACTGATGCTACTGGGATTCCTGTCACTGGCTTTTCTGATCCTAATACCATCAGTAACTAATCATAAAATTCAGATGGATTGTGGAGGATGTTTCCACTACAAGAAACTAGTTTCGCAGAAGTGAATTGGAGTTGCGTCTGGGTTTGTCAAGGTTCTGTATGACTGACCAGTTGTTCTATGGAGTCTGCTCTGTCACTCTTGTCAGAAGTGCTTATCTTTATACATTTACTTTTGGTTTATCTATATTTGCAGGCCAGTCAAATAACAACCCACATCCTGGTGTGACTCGCAGGTATAATGAATGACTTGCATTTTCGAGGTTATATTTAAAAGCTAGCTATTTAAGCTGCAGCCACAAATCTACATTGATATCTTCCTTCTGAAAGTCTCAGGAAATTATGCATCTAATCTGAGGCTACAGTACGGGTTTTGCTGGAAGAGGCAATGTAAATGAAGCGTGGATTAGCATTTTCTATGCTTAATTTGCATAATCTCTTCTGATCTGTTTTTGCACAAAACCAAGCAGAGCAGACATTTCCTTTTTGCACAAAACTCCCCTTTTGCTGCGCAAGATCTTGTGCAAAAATGGATTGGAAGATATTATGCAAATGAAGCATGAGAAAATGCTAATCCGCGCTTCATTTGCATTGCCTCTTCCGGCAAAACCCATAGTGTAGACATAGCCTGAAGGTCTGGCCTGCAAGTGCTTGGTTACAAGCGCAAGCCATATTGGCATCATTTAAGCACCCAGCTTTGCAAACTTGTTGCTAGCATTTTCTGTTTTGCTCTTCACAAAGCTTCCCTCTCCTCATCTCCTGGAAATTAGGTAATTATTATTCAGTGATGGTCACAATTACATCTGACATAAGCCAAAACTTTTATTAATCTTTTGGGATGCAGTGTGATCTAGTGTATGGGGGTACTAAAATAGAAGCAAGGAGACCTGAGGAAAAATCCTGGCTCCCTTGAAGCCAATGAGAGTTTTGCCAATGATTTCAATGAGCCACGGATTCCACCGCTGGTTCTAATTTCAATTCTTCTACTAATCTGCTTTGTGATCTCAGGTAACTCACATCACTTCTCTGTTCCTTTGCTCTCTCTTTTCACAACAAGAACTTTCTTTCACTATGCGTTTGTACAGCTCCTAGCACAATAGGAACAGACCCTTGGCTAGAACCTCCCCGGTACTACTGTAATAATTATCATAATGTTTCTTAAACTTACCCACTGTAGCAGATGTGCCTGCGGAAAAATGATCTTCACAGAATCGCTGTAAAAATGAAGTCTTTCCCACGCTTGAATTGCCAACAAAAATAATCTTGAATAAGCGATCGGGGGCAGAATATATTCTCTCCTCCTTCAAAAAAACCACAAAAGTTAGTTGACAATTTAAACTGTGACTCTGAACTCTGTTGTCTTTTCTAATTTGTAAAGACTTAAAGATAATCTGAAAAGTGGAAAAAAAATGAGGCTGTATCCTTTCTCCTTCTTTGATGACTTTTGAAATAACCTTAAGAGTTTGTTGTTTGGTTCATTGTGGCTTTTTAAAAGAGTATTGTTTATTTTTTTACCTTAAAGATAATAGGAATGTCCAGTCTGCCCTCCCTTAGTTTTAGTGGAAGTCTCTGTAGTGTTCCTAGCTGTGAGTTGTGAGCCTTTTTGCCACGTAACAAAAGGAATGAAGTATTGAATTTGTATCAAAGTTGTGTTTTTTTCCCAAGAATTTCTAGCATCTTTGAGCTCAACTTTTTGAGTCAATGTAATTTTCTTTTTAGTTCAAACCAGAAAAAAAATATGGCTGTCAGACTAGTTTTATAATTGCATGGATTTAACAATTCTATCTAATTCCCAGGCTATTTTGGGATGAAAGTCCCATGTGAGCCGAAACAAAAAGTTTTGCATTTATCCCTGCAAATCCAAACCAATACGCTCTGCACAACTCTGTTCAGAAGACCAACCTCACACTAAACTTTATACATATCATGGACTGTGTGTCTGGAGAACACAAGCACATTTATAAACTGTCTAATATTTTTTATTGCCTAATTGTGTTCTCAGTTGCTGCAATGTATAGATTCATGAGCTTCCATAGAGTTACTGCTGAATGCCGATATACACCAGGACCAGTTAATCCAGCTATTAATCACCTCTTAGCTCCTCAAGTATGTGGGAAGAATAATTTATTTTGCCTGCATGTTTTCCATGTTCTTTAGATTAAATTGAATGGGGATGCTGGAGAAGAATATTTCTACAGTATTCCATTTTTAAGGGAATCATTATTCCCAAATCCCTTCCCTTCTATTTTCAGCAGCAGTGGAAAATGAAGCAGCACCAGTGAGTTTGCAGTGGGGGCCAGAACCATCTGCTGCTCTAGGACAGAGAGGAGAAAGGGGGAAGGCAAGGTGGGGAGCACATTACTAATTCTGTCGAAAAAGAGGCAGAGTGATTCCCCTTTTAATGCAAAGTGAGCATTCCAACACATGCAAGAGGGTACAGAGAGCTGGCCCAGACAGGCAGTCTGCCTGGCTTTCCCTTCAGTGCCAGGTAGAAATCCAGACTGCCCAATATTTGGTACTGCTGTGAAGGAAGTACTGAATTATCATGGGGAAAAATAGTTATATTTGTACTACAGGAAAAAGTTCTCCACAGTGTCCCTTAACTGCAAGAAGTCCTTTTACCAGGGACAACATTTGGAGCAAATAGCCATCTAGCTCTCTATCTTCATCTGTTTGAACAACAGCCATTGTTATAACAGTCCTGTGATTTCTTATTTCTCGCTCCCTTATCCTTTTAGATTGAAAACTCAAACTACATTGCACCTTTAGGCTGTCAGCAATAAACACACACATACACATCCTGATCCTCGAGCCTATTGCCAATGACAATCATCATCCAGTTTGTGTAATGTGGGTGCTGGAGGAGGAGGCTCTGCATGACCTCCACTACACAGCTGGGACTGAAGGGCGCAAGAGTCCTTGCTATAATGGGGCAGTCCTTTATGGGAAGTGAGTTGAGCTAGATGACCTGGTTGGACTTTGCCCTCTCTAATTTCAGTGATATGGTGCTTGGAGGTGGGTCTAGACTCTGGGAAGCAGGGATATACAAAACATGCTGTGCAATATATAACACGTGCCAGTGCAGCCAAATTCTTCCCTGGGCTTCACATCAATAGCTCCCAGAGATATCAGTGGATGCCAGCGTGCCCATCTGTGGGCAGAAAATTGGCTAGGCATTCCTTATTATTGTTATTAATTTATATTACAGTATGTCCTAGAACCCTCAGCTGAAGTTAAGGGCCCATTCAGGGTAGGAACTGTACAAACACACAAGCATGAACCTAGCCCAAAGACCGTACATTCAAAATTGACAGAACTGACAAAGGATGAGAGGGGAAACAAGAATTGCAAAGAGGGGACATGACATGCCCTGGATCACCTAGCAGGCCAGTCACACAACTGAGATGAGAACCTCAATCTTGAAAGTCCTACTCACATGGCTGAGCCACTGGACCATCCTATTTCTCAAATAAAATTGTTGCATCTCTCTTCTAAAGTACAAAAAGGACTAGGGGGAAATCCTGAGCTATCTCAATGTTTCAAGATCCTGGTATCAATTTGTTTAAGAAACCTGCTAATAGATTTTCCAATTGTCAGTTAGTGTCACTAATAAGCCAATTCTCTGGTTTAAATCTTTAATGTGCAACAGCATGATAATAATATGCTTTCTGACAGATAGCTAGGACATCTTACTATTAATTAAATGGTGAGTTCAGCAGTTAGGAGTTCAGGAGAAAGGTCCACTTGATTGTAAGTGGAGGAAAGATCCAGTGGGTTCAGAGTAAGAAGTTTCCAATAATTGAGGCTACTTCTATTGAGAGAACAGTACAAAGAACCTTATGGCTATTGCACATTAATGATCTAAGCAGTTCTGATGAGCTTTCCTTTTTAAATTGAAAAACATGTCTGTAACTTGGTTATACTTTATGACAAAGTATGCCAATTATAATAGTTATTATGTAACCACAGCATCATTTTATGATTGTTTTAAAGATGTGCATAATACCTGCTTCTTTCAGAAAGGAGAGCTATGTAGTTAAGATTGATTATACCTATTTTTCCACACCTTAATCTTTTAAATATATACTTCAGGAATCAAACAATGGATCACACTTAATAGCTCTACTAAAATTAGCTAGTAGATACCTTTGCTTACAAGACAGTAAGAGTGTGAGTAAGGTTTTTCACGGCAGAGTTACCCTGGAGGTGATTTTATAAAGCCAGGACTGTGCACATTTGAGTTTGGGTTTCCATTGTGAGCATTAATGTAAGGTTAGAGCTAGAAGAAATGTTCTGAATTTTGATTTTTCAGTGAAAAAAAGTATTCCAATTTTGACCCAAAAAGCAGGGTACATTTTTCTCATGAAGTTTTGCAAAAAAAAAAAAAAAAATCTCACTTTTCCATCAGCTATAAATAGTTGTTCAAAATTTAATCAAAATTTCAAGTTTGACCCCCCGCAAAAAGGACACAGTTTCAATGGACATGTTCATTAAGGGCTGTTTCTTTCTTTATCCTACTCTGTCCCTTAAAGGATCCTCTAGTGCCATTTCCTAATCTCATCATCAGGTCAGATTTCAAGATTTTCAACAGTCACTCATAGTTGGCTGTCTCATCTCCTCTTTGAACATATCCAGTGAGATTTTTCCTGAACCACCATTAGTTGCTTGGTGCTGATCTGATTTTGATCTTATAAAGACTGTGAGAAATGTCCTCATGCAATTAATATAGAAAACATCATTTGAATTCACACGGTTGTTTAAATCCTCACTATCATAATCCTTGCGTGTATTTTCAGCTGATGCCTGGCATCTTCATTTTTGCATCTTCAAAATGAATTTTAGGCACAAGTCTGAATTTAGGTGCATTATGCAATCAAGTAGTCAGAGGCCTAAGTAATCAGATCAGCATGCATGAATCAATTGGAGCATCAAAATATGCATCCAAATTGTATAGATGGAACTTGTGTCTATAAAAGGGAAGTCAAATGATTTTGGTTTGTGAAAAAAAATTACATTATACCCTCCACTTCCACTGAAGATAAGTCAACCCCTTA